AGAGTGCTTACCTCACATGCATAAGGCCCTGGGTTCGATTCCTCAGCACCACATACACAGAAAAAAAACCCAGACATGGTGCTGTGGCTCAAGTGGTAGAGCACAGCCTTGAGCTGAAGAGCTGAGGGACAGCGCCCAGGCCCAGAGTTCAAGCCCCCAGACAGACAAAAAAAATTTTTTTAAATACAGATATTTATAAGGTAAATGTGGCTCCTAATTTGTTGGCCTAGCCAAGACATACTGGCAAAAATAAGTAAACAGAATCAATGTATCTTGGTTAGAAAGGTCATGATGAGAGACAGAAACGAAATGGGAAGTATAGCTGTCAGTCGGCTTACTGTCCAGTATCCATTCCATTCCCCAGGTTCACCACCGCCTGCTGTTTCTTCTGGCTCCTCTCAGGATTTTACCTCCATTACACACCAGATTTGAGCATTTTCTGGCCTCTCTCCCCCTACTCCTCCAGACACATATCTTTTAAACTGCATACAGAAGGGGCTGTGCATCCACGCTGCTCAGCCAGAGAGGGAGTGGAGCTTTTCTGATGTTCAAGACTCTGAATAGAGACTGAACCAGAGGCCCAGGTTTTGGTGCCAGCTCTATGGGGCCAGAGCTCTGTGATTTCACCCAGGAGGAATGGATAAAGCTCCATAGCCAACCAGAGGGGAAACTACAGCAAGCTTTGGACAGTCACTGCAAGGAAGCAAGCCAGACTAGAGTGAGGGTGTGCGTGTGCTGCTCGCTGTAGTTGTTCAAGTTAGAGGACCCGTGGGACTGGAGGGGCTGGGGGCCTGCGCCATGCAGTGAGAGGTGGAGTCTAGACTTGCTTTTGTTTCAGATCTATCCTTCACCTTCTGGTCCAAAAGCCTTACATATGGGAAACGACTCTCCTTCTATCTCTTTTGTAAGATGATCCTGAGTTGATATTCCTTCCTTACATTTGGTGTGAACGTGGCACACCTTTGATTCCAGAGAGTCTTTAACTCACAGCAAAACTGTGTCAAGATTTATACTTTGGGTGGAAGCTGATGGCTCATGCCTGTAGTCTTAGCTAGGCAGAGGCTGAGGTCTGGGGATTGTGGTTCAAAGCCAGCCCAGGCTAGGGAAAATCCATGAGACTCGATTCTCCAATTAACTCCAAAAATGGAGTTGTAGCTCAAGTGGTAGAGAACCAGCCTTGAGTAAAAAGCCAAGAGGGAACACGTAGGCCCTGAGTTCAAGCCTTAGTGCCAGCTGTGCATGCAATGTATGCATACACACACCACACACACACACACACACACACACACACACACACACTTATAAACATTTACACTCTCTGGGCTTCAGTTTCTTGGGACCTGCATCATCTCTGAGGCCACTTCCAGAGTGGTGTTGGACACTGGACAGGTAGCAGAACTCTTGTCAGAAGACTTAGGCCATTCTGTGCCTCAGTTTCCTTAGCTATAAAATGGGATTAATGACACCCACCTCAGAGAGTGGATGTAGTGACCAAAAGAGGAGAAAGTGCTTCATTAACTGTCAAGTTCTGAGTAAACATTAATTTGTCAGGAGAGTGTTGGAGGTGGGGCTTGCCCAGCTTCTCCTTTATGACTAAGATGTCAGGTTTTTTCCTTTTAAAATTAACTTTATTGAGGGCTAACACACATGAAATCAATTGCACCCATTCCAAGTGTACAGTTAAACGGGCTCAGAACAAACACGTACACCCGTCTTGATGGAGATGCAGAACACTTTCATCACTTAGAAAAATCCCCTCCTGTTCCTTTGAATCAGTCCCATTTTTGGCTTCAAGCATCTGTCAGTATAAATCAGTGTAGCCTTCGCCAGAATCTTACATAGTCACGACAGTCTGGCTTTTTTCTCTTTAGCATGATATACTCAAGATCCACTGGTGTTGAATGTATTGGCTGTTTGGTCCTTTTTTATTCCTTGCTAAGCTGTGTCCCTGGATGGTTGTCTGAAGATATCACTTAACAATCCAAAGTCAAAAGTAAAAGTGCATGCTCTATTTTGATCTTCTTGTTAAACAACAACAAAGATTTGTC